TAAACTTAAATTTTTGAATTATTCTTTTAATAAAAATATACTTTTAAAACCCCCTTACTGTTTTAAAAAAATTTTAGGTCGCCGCGTGGCAAGTTCATCAGCTTGCTTTTTTTTTTTAAATGCATTTTATAGTTTTATAGATTTTATATTCTATATATACATGTTATATACCCATTTTTCTTGCATAATCTCAACTTAGTTGGAGAAAACTTAAAATGTAAAACTAAAATAACATGACAAATAAGCGCAACAAATTTCTCCTGTTTTTTGACGTTTTTAGAACTTTTAAGCTTTCTTTAAAAATTCTCTTCCTTTTGTTTGTTTAAGTGTAAAATACTTTTACATTTGTTAAGTATATAATCTCTATACATCTTCAAAAGTGATTAGTTTTGTATTTTAAAAAAAATCAAAAAAGATTAAAAAAAAAAGTTCCAGGAACGGGAGTTGAACCCTGGCTCCCCTGATTCGTAGCTCAGCAAGCTGACCACGAAGCTACGCCGTCTTACCAATTTGAGACATTTTTAAAAATATATACTTAACGAAAAACTTTATAAAACAGCTATCGGTCAAAATTTAAGGAGATGTTGCCGCAATGCAGTTTTCAAGTGAAAGTAAAACTTAAAAACTTGATACATGTTTTAGTATGTTTTGACATTTCGCATTTTGAAGTTTACGTAAGTTAGTTATTAGCACACACTTTCGTTAATGTTTTCTTATAAAAAGGTGCTGCGACTCTTCCTCGCCAGTACCTCGGTTGCAATGGCTGCGTTGGGTATTATGTCAAACGTGCTCGAAAGGGTAATACTACTATTAAGTTCAGTATTATTATATAAAGATAATAATACGGAACTCAATAGTAGTAGTTCCCTTTCGAGCACGTTTGACACAAAACCCAACGCAGCCATTGCAACCGAGGTACTGGCGAGGAAGAGTCGCAGCACCTTTTTATAAGAAAACATTAACGAAAGTGTGTGCTAATAACTAACTTACGTAAACTTCAAAATGTGAAATGTCAAAACATACTAAAACATGTATCAAGTTTTTAAGTTTTACTTTCACTTGAAAACTGCATTGCGGCAACATCTTAATTTTGATCGATGGTCGTTTTATAAAGACTTTTATTTACTATATATTTTTAAAATTTGTTCAATCGTTCATAGTGGCATAGCTTAGTGGTCAGCTCGCTGGCAGCTGACCTGAAGAGCCATGGTTCGAATCCTACCTATGGCATGTTTTCTTTTTAAATTCATTTTCGATTTTTCTAAAGTACGAAATAAAGATTATGTATAGAGATTATATACTTAACAAATGTAAAAATATTTTACACTTAAACAAACGAAAGGAAGAGAATTTTTAAAGAAAGCTTAAAAGTTCTACAAACATCAAAAAACAGGAGAAATTTGTTGCGCTTAATTGTCATGTTATTTTAGTTTTACATTTACATTTCTCCAACTAAGTTGAGTTCGCGCAAGGAAAATGAGTATATAACATGTGTATATATAGAATATAAAATCTATAAAGTGCATTTAACAAAAAAAGCAAGCTGATGATTTGAACTTGCCACGCGGCGACCTGAATATTTAAAACAGTAAGGGGGTTTTAAAAATGTATTTTTATTAAAAAATATTTAAAATTTTTAAATTTAAGATAAATTATCTTATGAAATTTATTATTTTTTAAAATGAAAAAAAAGTTAAAACTATCGATATTTAGGTAATAAAAATATTTAGAGTTTTACAGCTAATTTACAACGCCCCTGTTAAATATTCTATACCGAGTGCGCAACAATGACAGAATTTAGAAAACCATCAAAATAGTATGATTCTCCGTATGTGATTGGAAGAGTCAACTTGAACACTTTAAACTGATCTGAACAAACTGCACGAGGCATTGCAAATGTTTACTCGGTAAGATTTTTGTATTTCTTGAAATGACATTGTATCTTCTATTATTGTTGTCATAAATGATATAATTATTGAATATACTTAAAAAAATAGCATGTATTTTTGCATCTGTTTTTAAAATTACGGAACTTTAAATTTCTAATGTTTTTTTTAATGAAACATTCTGTTTTATAGGTGTTGTATTGATTCTTGACTGGCTGTTAATTTTATACAAGCTAAAGACGACCTTATTTTGAATATAAGTAAGTTTTTTTTTTATAATTAGTTTTATGTAATTTTATGTAAAATATTCAATCGTGTTTTATATGTATCTAAGTATTTAGTAAAGGAATATTTGCCAGTGTGACCGAGCGGACGACATTCTGAAATATCTATCGAGGTTTGAGTCCAATCGTTAGAACCTTCTCTTTTTTTTTTAAATTTTTTATTGGTTTTTTTAAAAATTCAAAAATAGAACACAATAAAAAGAGAACTATGAAATTGTTTTGTTTTGCTTTTTAATAATTAAAGCTTTCCGCGACAAACTTTTTTTGAACACAGTCAGGGGGATAAAATGAGTTGTTTCTATTAAGAATATGAGTAAAAAATTTATTTTCTATTTAAAATAAATCATTTTTTCCAACTTGGTTATTTTTAAAAATGATATAAAGTTAAAATAACCTAATCTTAAGATAATAAAAAAGTTTAAAGTTTCATATCTGCCCCCGTTAAACATTTTAAACCAAGTGCTCAACAATGACAATTCAGATAACTATCGAAATAGTATTATACTGTTTTTATAGTTTTGAAAGAGTCAGACCGCTATTAACTGGTTATGCACAAGGCATTTTTGATTTGCAAGCGGTAAGTTTTGTATTTCTTGAGATATCTTAGATTCTATTATCATATATTTGATATAATTGTTAAGTATGCTTTTATTTATATGTAGTATGTATTTGTTAATTTGTTTTTGAAGTTGCTAAAGATTTTAATGTTTTACTTAATGAAACAGTCTGTTTAGTAGGGGATGAATCTTGACAGGCTGTTAATTTTATAGAAGCTAATGTTGACCTTATTTTAAATATAAGTAAGTTGTTTTTTATTATTATTGGTTTTAAATAGTGTTAGATATTCAATCGTATTTTTTATGAATCTAATAATTTAGTAGAGTGTTATTGTCTGGAGGTGTTTGATATTCAGGTAAGATTTTATTAAGTTAATTTATTTTAAAAGAATCTTTTAAAATTTACTTATTAAAAATTTTACATTTGCGTTTTTTTCAATTCCAAATTTTGTTTCTATTTTTTTAATATTAAGTAAATTTTTGGTGAAAGATTCTGTTTCTGCATTAAACACTATCAAAATTTTAGTCAGTAGAACATGCAAAATATTGAAATGATTTGCTGCTGTGACTGTGTTTATGATTATCCACGGCAAGATGGTATTTTATTGTCAGTTAAGATTTTGTGAATACTTTAAACTGCAGTTAATCTTTTTTATGTATCATAAATTATTTTGTATTACAAACTTTTTAAATTTTGTTATTTTATTTCTTTAGTTCTACTTTGGTACTTTAGCAACTATCATAAGTTTACTTGGTCTACTGTTAAATATGGTTTTAACTAAGTAAATTTTAATTATTTAAAATTTACTTTGTTGATCATTAGCTAATAGTTTATAAAGAATTTAGTCTGTTGCCATCAAGGTAAAAATAATTTTGTGTTTCAGTCAAATTACAAAATTTGTTTGCACTTATAGCTTTTATGTTTCGTTATTTTGTTTAATTGACTTTTTCATTAATTTTGTTATTAATTCCTTTTCATTTCAAATTTTGCCCGTTTTTAAAAATGCTATATAAAAATAGCAGCAGGCAAATTGGTTTGTAGTATTATTATATAAAGATTATTATATAAAGATGTTTTTAATTCTATCATATGATAATTTTTCATCGTAGATATATCTTACGATGCTTTTTCAGCATATTGCAGTTCGCGAGGCACATAAGTTGTGGGCCCGAATTTAGAGCAAAAGCTCGCTCTCCTCCGTCATTTTTTTTTCTTTTTCTTTCTTAATAAGGATCCTGTAAAAAATAAAATATGAGAAGGATCCTTAGTATGGATTCTGTAAAAAATAAAATATGAGAAGATAGCGGTGGGAAAATATTGCGCTATATCTTTAATTAGTAATTTTGTAGTTAGTTAATAATGCAGATGTAGTTGAATTTTTTTTTGTAAATAAAACTTTTATATATTTTGTTTCGTTATCATGTATAAATAAATTGATTTACAGTGGTGTTATTATTTCTTTTTTGAAAAAAACTGATTAGTTTTTTTTTGCCTCCACAGAAGCACCAACGGGATCTGCATCAAGTAATGTATTTTGCATACTTATGTATTTTTTGGGTGTTGTATTATTCAAGCTGAAACATTACATTTTTAATATTTGTGTGCAGTTTCATACCTGTTAAATATATGTTAATTTGAACATTACAATTTTTTTTTTTTTTTTGCCTTTACAGAAGCACCATTGGCAGTTGTGTCAGGTAGTGGGTTTGGCATACTTATACAGTTTTATAGGTTTTATGCATATTAATTTTTTATGCATTTAAATTAGCATTAAATTTTTTTCTTTTGTATGCAATTTTATGAATGTTTGGTTTGTGTTAATTTAAACTTTAATTTTTTTTTCGCTTCTCCAACAGCACCCCTTGCAGTTATTTCAGGTAGTGTGTTTTACATACTTATGTAGTTTTGTGGGTGTTATGTGTATTAAAACATAAACATTCAATTTTTTTTATGTTTGAAATTTCATGACTGTAGTATATGTTAATTTTTTTTTTTTTTTTTACCTCCACAGAAGCACCATTGGCATCAGTGTCAGGTAACATGTTTTCACACTTATGCATTTATATGGGTGTTATGTGTATTTAAATATAAACATTAAATTTGTGAAGTTTGTATATAAATACATGATTTAATTGTTTATATATATATATTTTTTTCTTAACAGCAACACATTCTTCAGTTGCAACAGGTAAAGTAAATTTTAGTCGTTTTTAAAATTAATATGTTAGTCGTTTTATGCAGAATTTATATATATATATATATATATATATATATATATATATATATATATATATATATATATATATATATATATATATATATATATATATATATATGCATATATGGTATGTAATCAAATTTATTGCTTTTTTTTTAGCATCTTGGGAGAGTTTCCTTTTATATCGCTCCCAGCACCCAGGCCCATTATCACAGAGGGCCTTCTTCCGGTGGTGCCAATATGGGGAAGATGATCCCTCCTTTAGATGGAGGAGACGGACCCCATATGGGGCCACCGGTAGGAGGAGTGGTGCTGGGAGGCAGAATGACCAAAGGTCAAACATTATGAATTTTTATCAGTAGTTTTTTTTTTTTTTGTGTGTTAATTTATTTATTTGTTGTAAATATATCTTTACGTTTCAAAAAAGTTGTTTTTTAGTTTCGATTTTTGCAAGTATTTTTATTTATTTTTGATATTTTAATTTTTTAATTTTATATTTATTGATTTTTATTTCTGATTTGAGAGTCTAAACTTTCAAAACAACTCTTATGTGGTTAAATGTTAAATAATTTGTCTATTAATTTTTATTTATTTCATATAGTTTTTGATTTCTTGATAGTAAATATTTTGTAATTTAGTTACAATTTTTTCTTATTCTATTTGTTTGTTTTATATGCCTAATTGTTGCATTATACACATATTAATGTTTATATTATTCTCTTTAGATTTTTATTATAAAAAAGTAATCATTAAAGATAGCCACATGTGAACTATATGATGTTACATGTTAGACAAGTTTTATTTGCAATTTGCAATTTGGCATGTCGTTTTTTTATTTGTAAATAATTTTACTATTTAATTTAGTTATTATTAGCATTAAAAAATTGTTAAAATTGTTATAATTTTATTTTAATTTATTTCTAAAATATTTTGTTTTATTACTTTAAATGTAATACTTAGTGGTTCAACTTATGTTTAACTTTTAGGTTTTTCTCTGTTTTAAACCAGTTAAGTTAAGACTTTAGGTCAATAATTTTTATTAGAAAATATATAAATAGTCTTATAGAGTTTATATTGATAATTAGAAATGCACATATTATGTTTTTCCATTTTAGATTAGTATAACAAAAAATTAATCAAATCAACTTTTATCAAACATAGTTTCTTAGTTATGTCAAATAACTTGAGAGCTGAAATAAGAAGAAATCGTCGGAATGAGAGAAATGAGGCTAGGCGAGAAGAACTTAATCGTCGCCAAAATGAAAGAAATGAGGCAAGGCGAGAAGAAATTAATCTTCGCCAAAATGAAAGAAATCAGGCAAGGCGAGAAGAAATTAATCGTCGCCAAAATGAAAGAAATCAGGCTAGGAGAGTATTACATAGACGTGGAATGCATTGCATAGCAAGAAATAATGTTTTTATAGTGAGTAATTACCTTGGAGAAATGAACCATATTTGTCAATATTGTGGTGCCAAAAATTTTTTAAATGAAACACATTTTCTGTGCTGCCATTCTCGAAAAGTTGCGTTAGCTCCACTTTCGCCTTATCCACTGCTCATGCACAATTTAATGACAGGCAACCATGTTGATCGTGCTATGAATCAAAATTTCTTCAAGCATATTCGAAGTTATAATGCCTGTTTATCTTTTGCTTCATTCACAGCAAGAATAGCTCCTCCGTCTGATCATGGGCCACCCTGTTTTAGGATTTGCGGACAAATTGTGCATCGTGTAGGTAATCTGAGACCTGATCAAAATGTTCTGCCTGCATATTGTCAGTTATATGTTTATGATCCTAATACTGCTTTAAATTTTCGAATGGAGCAAAATGATTGTTGCATACGTGAGTTGATGGAATTTTTGCAGACTATAATTAGTCAAGAGAACCCATTTGCTCTTGCATTTAAAAACATGGCTGAAATTGAAGATGAAGAAGTACGTCAAGCAGCTTTAGAAGGTCGACCAACTTCGATTGTTAAAATGTCATTGCTTGAAGGTGGTGATAGACGTCGATACAATCTTCCTTCACATGAGGAAGTTGCCATTGTTTTTGTTGGGGATGATGGTGCTCCACCTCCACCTAGGGAAGTAGTTATATACCCTCGAGGTCAGGCCTTAAAAACAATTTCAAGTATGTCTGCAAATCTAGATCCAATGATATATCCAATATTTTTTCCAAGAGGTGATGCTGGATGGCATGAGCAACTAGAGCATCATCCTGACCGAGCTACACGTGTTAGAAATCGGGTTACTTTGTCTCAGTACTACAATTACAGGCTTTCTGTTAGAGAAACCTTTAATCCTATATTTTATGGTAAGAAGCTTTTTCAACAGTATGCTGTTGATGCATATGTCAAGATTGAAGGTCAGCGCCTTGCTTTTATTAGAAATAACCAAAACAGACTTAGAAGTGAACAATATGACACATTATATAAACATGTAAATAACGCTGCAAATAACCTTAATGTAAGACCAGGTCGTGTTGTTATACTACCATCCTCATATGTTGGAAGTCCAAGAGCTTTAAAAGAAAATTTTCAAGATGCAATGGCAATTATAAAGAGATATGGCAAACCAGATCTTTTTATTACTTTTACCTGCAATCCAAAATGGAAAGAAATTACAGAAAATTTAAATCCAGGTGAGAGCCCATCTGACAGACCTGATTTAGTTTGTCGTGTATTTAAGATGAAACTTAAATGCTTCCTAGATGATATTTTTAAACACGGAGTCTTAGGTAAAGTTATAAGTCATGTACAGGTTATTGAATTTCAAAAACGTGGTTTGCCACATGTACATATTTTATTGCACTTTGTAAATGATGATAAGCTAGAAACAGCAGAGGATATTGATAGTCTAATATCAGCTGAAATTCCAGATCAAACTGTTGATCCTGAACTTTTTGAAATTATAAAAACATGTATGATTCACGGACCATGTGGAATTTTGAATCCCAATTCTTCTTGCATGAAAGATGGGATTTGCACAAAAAAGTTTCCTAAAGAATTTAATCCTCACACTGTTGCAACTTTCAATGGCTATCCTCACTACAGGCGTTTAGATAATGGTAGAGTAGTCGTTATAAAAGGTAACCAAGTTGATAATCGATGGGTTGTACCCTACAACCCTTGGTTATCTATTAAGTCAGTTAAGTATTTATATAAATATGTCTATAAGGGGCATGATTGTGCTCATGTGTTAAATAATGAAAGTCTTGACCATGATGAAATTAACACATATTTAGATTGTCGCTTTGTTTCTGCACCAGAGGCTCTTTGGCGAATATTTGAGTATTCCAAAAGTGATATGTCACATACTATTATCCGCCTTCAAGTCCACCTTCCTGATAATCAGAGGGTATATTTTAACGAAGGAGAAGAACGAGTAGCTATAGATCGTGCTGCACAGCGTGACACTCACCTAACCGCTTGGTTTAAATTAAATGCTGAGATAAATGAAGCACGTCAGTATTCTTATGTTGAAATTCCATATCACTTTGTTTTTGATGGTAAAAATTGCAAGTGGAAAGTAAGACAAAGAGGCAGTGATAAGGTGATTGTGCGAATGTATAAAGTCAATCTAACCAGTGAAGTATTTTTTCTTAGATTGTTGCTTTTGCATGTAAAAGGTGCAATGTCTTTTGAGGATTTGCGTACTATTCATGGCACTGTTTTTAATACATTTCGTGAAGCATGTTATCGATTAGGTCTATTGCAAGATGACATTGAATGGAGAAATACATTAACTGAAGCTGTAGCAACTCGAATGCCTAAACAAATTAGGCAACTGTTTTCCATTATATTGACTTTATGTGAACCTGATGATCCTTTACACCTTTGGAATACATTTAAAGATTATATGATTGAGGATTACATACACCATTCAATGCCAGTTGTACTTGCTGAACAGACTGCTCTTCGTCAAATTGAATCTATAATTAATCAGAGTGGTAAAACTTTAACTGATTATAATTTGCCTACATTAGATCAGTTATTAGATAATGTCCTAGAAAATGATGATGGAAATATTCAGGTATTTATTGATGAAGCAAATCGAGTTAGACCATTATTAAACGATAATCAGCGTAATGTAGCTGATGCAATCCTTGCTGCACTTAGTGAAGAACCTAATAATGAAAATAAGCATTCAAGATTTTTCTTTATGGATGGGCCTGCCGGTTGTGGTAAAACATTTACTTACAATTATTTAATTGCTGAAACACGCAGCAGGCATATTAGAACTGCAACAGCTGCATGGACAGGAATAGCTGCAACTCTTCTTAAGAATGGATGCACATTGCACGGCTTATTCAAACTTCCTGTTCCAATTTTGGAAACTAGCACATGTAATGTAACTCCAAACTCCATTCATGGTAGATTCCTGAGACAAGTTAGTTTATATTTACTCGATGAAGCATCTATGATACCCAAACATGCTTTGAGTGCCATTGATAAGTTATTACAAGATATTTGTAATAATAAGTTTCCTTTTGGTGGTAAAGTTATTCTTATGGGTGGAGATTTTCGACAAATACTTCCAGTTGTGAAGAGAGGTCGACCAGCAGATGTTGTAGAATCATGTATAAAGTGTTCTGAACATTGGCAATATGTGCAAAGGTTTTCATTAACTGAAAATATGAGGGTTCAGATAGGAGAAGAGGAATTTTCTCAATGGCTTTTAAAGCTTGGAAGTGGAACATTACCTGTCAAGCCTGAAGATCCTTTGCAAGGGTGTATTGAAATACCTGAGCAGTGTTTTCTCAATGATAATGAATCTATTGTGGAAAAGATTTTTGGTGGTGCAGAAGAAGCTGATTATGCAAAACGTGCTATTTTAACACCAACAAATGTTGATTCATTGGCAATAAATGAAGAAGTCCTTCATCGATTACCGGGTGATGTTAAAACTTATTTAAGTTCAGATAGCATTGAAACTGATGATCATAATGAAATTTATAATTTTCCAGTTGAGTTTTTAAATACTTTGACTCCATCAGGTATGCCTGTTCATTGCCTAAAGTTGAAAATTGGTGCTGTTATAATGCTACTTAGAAATTTAGATCTCAAAGGTGGACTTTGTAATGGAACACGTTTGATGGTGCGTGCACTACACAACAATTACATTGATGGTGAGGTTCTAACAGGTGTATCAGCTGGTAACAGGGTATTTGTTCCTCGAGTTCAATTAGCTCCATCAGATTCAAATTTACCTTTTACACTTAAACGTCGTCAATTTCCAGTTAGGTTAGCATACTCAATGACCATAAATAAAAGTCAAGGTCAAACATTTGATAAAGTTGGTGTTTATCTCAAAAAGCCTTGCTTTTCACACGGCCAATTATATGTTGCATGTTCAAGAACAAAATCTTTTAATAGTTTGTTTTTTAAAGTTGATAAACATGCATTACAAGGTATGTCATTTAACAAATATTACACAAATAATGTTGTGTTTACAAATGTTCTTAATTTATAATTTTGACAAGTTTGTTTATGTTTTTTTTCTTTGCTATATATGTTTATATATGTGAATATATGTTTTTACTTATATATAGATGTTTGTGTTTGTATATGTTTGTTTATATGTGTTTAAGTTTATATTATGTTATTTCCATGTTTGAAAAGTGGTGTTACTTGGCAACGTGTAGTGCAAGATTGTGATCCTTGCCAGCCAAGTGGTGTTACTAATTAGTGGTGTTACTTGGCACTTAATGCCAAGCGGTGTTACTAAATTGTGGTGTTACTTGGCAGCGTTTAGTGCCAAGCGGTGTTACAAGTGTTGAACTAGGTTGTGTTGTCTAGCTTTTTTAATTATTTTGGAAACACATAATATCTGAATACATTGTGTAATGTGTACTTACAAATGTCATAT